GATACACGGGATAAGGTGTGAGGTTAAATTTATACCATATTTGATTGATGATATAAATTTATCTTGGGATAAATTTGCACCGTCAACCTAATATGATATAAATTTTATCCAATATTTAATATTGAATCTTTCACCTTATTCCATCTTATCCCATTAAACTTGGGATTATTTTATCTCACCTCCCAAGTGAAATAAAGTAATCTAGAGATTATAATTCTGAAATAATTTAGTCAGCGTACTGGTAAAGATTCTAGAGTCCGAAACCAAAATGTTGCTATTTTGGACTCAAAACACATAAATAGGTGTAAAAAAAAAGGTAACAAAAATATATATAGCGCCAGAAATAGTGGCGCTATATATAAACGGTAACTGGACAGTTTATGTATAGCGCCACTATTTCTGGCGTTATACACTGTCAGAGTGATATAGCGCCACTATTTCTGGCGTTATACACTGACAGTGATATAGCGCCAGAAATAGTGGCGTTATATCCCTCCCCAAAAAACCCTCCATCTTCTTCTTCCTCCATTATTCTAATCCCCCTTCCTAAAATTGGTCCCCCCCCTCTGTCCGCCACTAAAAAAAAAAAATTTTTGGGTCCCCCCGGCACATAAAACTTGAAGAACGTAGGTCCCACACTCGAGTAGAGCTTCTTGTTATTGTTGATTCACGCTTTCGGAGTCAAATTTTCGATCTATTTGCTTTCCGAAAATTCTAAATCGAGGTATTTCGATTTATTTTAAGTTGAAACTTTTATAATAATGCATATTATTTGATTTGTATGTGTTCTATTTCGGTTGGTGATTTTATTTTCGAAATTAGCATCTTAAATTTATCCGGATTTAATTTTACTGTTTTATATAAAAATATAAATTTGTCAAATAAATTTGTCTGTTAATATTCTCATTAATATATATGTGCTTTCATGCCGTTTTGTGTTTTATTTGCAATTAAATTTATTTGTTATTTATGTTTAATTTAGATTATTTTTTAGCGTAGTAAAATCTAGACCTTTTTAGTGTAGTAAAACGTAGACCCTTTTAGCGTAGTAAAATTTAGAGCCTTGTAGCGTAGTAATGTGTAGTATTTTAGCTTAGAATTCCTTTTGTTTTAGTATCTATTACTGGTATTTCGATCCTCAAAATATGGAGCCCGGAACCCATACGTAAGTAATTTGTACAATTAAGTTATTAAAAAATATGAATTTAAATTATAAGAAAATACATAATTATTAATGATAATTTGGTGCCACTGGGCCTCAAAATATCGAGCCCGGAACCCATACGTAAGTAATTTGTACAATTAAGTTATTAAAAAATATGAATTTAAATTATAAGAAAATACATAATTATTAATGATAATTTTGTACAATTAAGTTATTAAAAATTATGATTTTACAATTGACGACATGGATGCGCTTATACATCCCGGCCCTCGGACGTCGGATCTATTAGCCCTACAGCCCCAGCATAGATCCGAGTATATCTGGGAGGGACAGTTGCTTACTACGACGTTTCGGGCCAGGAGAGTGGATCTACTATGGGAGTTTTTGAGTCCTCCCCGCGTTCTACATCCCCGCGTGGTCCATCACTTGGAGGAGATGGGATTTTATAGGATTATTAGGATTGGTCGGATACAGTCTCGACTATGCTTTGATCANTGTATAATAACGGTAACTGCACCGTTATTGTATAGCGCCAGGTTTTCTGGCGTTATACACTGTCAGAGTAATATAGCGCCAGGTTTTCTGGCGTTATACACTGACACAGTGATATAGCGCCAGAAAACCTGGCGTTATATCCCTCAACAAAAAAACCCTCCACCTTCTTCACCCGTCTTCTTCTTCACCATTATTCTAATCCCCAATCCAAAACTTGGTCCCCCCACTGTCCGCCATTATAAAAAAAAAAAAAATTTGGGTCCCCCGGCACATAAAACTTGAAGAACGTAGGTCCCACACTCGAGTAGAGCTTCTTGTTATTGTTGATTCACGCTTTCGGAGTCAAATTTTCGATCTATTTGCTTTCCGAAAATTCTAAATCGAGGTATTTCGATTTATTTTAAGTTGAAACTTTTATAATAATGCATATTATTTGATTTGTATGTGTTCTATTTCGGTTGGTGGTTTTATTTTCGAAATTAGCATCTTAAATTTATCCGGATTTAATTTTACTGTTTTATATAAAAATATAAATTTGTCAAATAAATTTCTCATTTATATATATGTGCTTTCATGCCGTTTTGTGTTTTATTTGCAATTAAATTTATTTGTTATTTATGTTTAGTTTAGATTATTTTTTACCGTAGTAAAATCTAGACCGTTTTAGCGTAGTAAAACGTAGAACCTTTTAGCGTAGTAAAATTTAGAGCCTTGTAGCGTAGTAATGTGTAGTATTTTAGCTTAGAATTTCTTTTGTTTTAGTATCTATTACTGGTATTTCGATCCTCAAAATATGGAGCCCGGAATCCATACGTAAGTAATTTGTACAATTAAGTTATTAAAAAATATGAATTTCAATTATAAAAAAAAATATATAGCCGATATGCCTCAAAATATGGAGCCCAGAACCCATACGTAAGTAATTTGTACAATTAAGTTATTAAAAAATATGAATTTAAATTATAAAAAGATACATAATTATTAATGATAATTTGGTGCCACTGGGCCTCAAAATATCGAGCCCGGAATCCATACGTAAGTAATTTGTACAATTAAGTTATTAAAAAATATGAATTTAAATTATAAAAAAAATACATAATTATTAATGATAATTTGGTGCCACTGGGCCTCAAAATATCGAGCCCGGAATCCATACGTAAGTAATTTGTACAATTAAGTTATTAAAAAATATGAATTTAAATTATAAGAAAATACATAATTATTAATGATAATTTTGTGCCACTGGGCCTCAAAATATGGAGCCCGGAACCCATACGTAAGTAATTTGTACAATTAAGTTATTAAAAAATATGAATTTAAATTGTAAAAAAATACATAATTATTAATGATAATTTGGTGCCACTGGGCCTCAAAATATCGAGCCCGGAATCCATACGTAAGTAATTTGTACAATTAAGTTATTAAAAAATATGAATTTAAATTATAAAAAAATACATAATTATTAATGATAATTTGGTGCCACTGGGCCTCAAAATATCGAGCCCGGAATCCATACGTAAGTAATTTGTACAATTAAGTTATTAAAAAAGTATGAATTTAAATTATAAAAAAAATACATAATTATTAATGATAATTTGGTGCCACTGGGCCTCAAAATATCGAGCCCGGAACCCATACGTAAGTAATTTGTACAATTAAGTTATTAAAAAATATGAATTTAAATTATAAAAAAAATACATAATTATTAATGATAATTTGGTGCCACTGGGCCTCAAAATATCGAGCCCGGAATCCATACGTAAGTAATTTATACAATTAAGTTATTAAAAAATATGAATTTCAATTATAAAAAAAATACATAATTATTAATGATAATTTTGTACAATTAAGTTATTAAAAATTATGATTTTACAGTTGACGACATGGATGCGCCTATACATCCCGGCCTTGGACGTCGGATCTATTAGCCCTACAGCCCCAGCATAGATCCGAGTATATCTGGGAGGGACAGTTGCTTACTACGACGTTTCGGGCCAGGAGAGTGGATCTACTATGGGAGTTTTTGAGTCCTCCCCGCGTTCTACATCCCCGCGTGGTCCATCACTTGGAGGAGATGGGATTTTATAGGATTATTAGGATTGGTCGGATACAGCTCGACTATGCTTTGATCACGGCCATGATTGAGCGATGGCGACCGGAGACGCACACTTTCCATCTTCCCATTGGCGAGGCCACCATCACACTCCAGGACGCAGAGATTTTATATGGCTTGTCCGCTGATGGCTTGCCTGTTTTACTCCCTACGACCATGAGATATTATCCGCGGGAGGCATATTGGGATATGCTGCACATGCACACTGGTTTCATGCCGGAGGGCCAGGAGGTAGCGTCTGGGGTCAGTCGCATACAGTTAGTCCCCATTAGAGACCACCTGGTGCAGCTCCACGATACTATCACCGACGAGCCAGGGAGGTGGATGTGCAGCGATACACGAGGCTGTTGCTGCTCCTTCTATTTGGGGGGGTCTTGTTCCCAAACACTTCGGGGAACCTAGTGAGCCTCCGTTTTCTGCATCATATCACCCGGTTCGAGGATACAACCAGCTACAACTGGGGTGGTGCTGTCCTCTCATTTTTGTACAGGCAGATGTGTCGGGCATCCATGGGCACACAGAGAGACGTTTGTGGCTTCCTGCCGCTTCTACAGGTGACAACATATTCAACGAATATGTCCGTTAGTTACAATTCTACGTAGTTATAGTTTATCTGACACTATACATCAACTTTCTATGTTAGGTTTGGGTCTATGAGCGATTTCTGCAGCTTCGGCCACCTCTACCACAGCTACCGGCTAATGCAGACATTCCGAATCTCCCTCTAGCTTGTAGGTGGGTTATGCGTCGTAGACTTGAACGAGAGTATGATGCCCATCATAATCTCCCCCGCATTAGGGATGTCTTGGATTTGCTGGAGGACGCACAGGTGAATATCTAACTAAACGTACCAGTTATTGTTTAATTTAGTGTTGCACATACTAACGGTTTGTGTTGTTATTTGATAGTTCATCTGGACGCCGTACAATGAGGAGGTGATAGGTACCCTGCCAGCGTATTGTACGTTCAGCCGACATATTTGGAGGGCTTCTGTCCCTCATATGCCTCGATATTGTGGAGCATCATGCCTCAGAGCGGGTTTTTCGTCAGTTTGGCCTGTCGCAGCCTATACCGACTCCGCCTGCATGGCATCCTTTACATTATGAGAGGGATGATCGGTCTAGGGTGGACGACACATTTATTGACTAGCTTAACGCCCAGCTGGCTATTTGGGACAGGCGAGGTGACTTAAACCCAACTCCGCAGCACTTTCCTATTGAAGGTTATATGGCATGGTACCGCATTGTTTCCCGACTTTTTATCGGGAACCCAGTTCATCAAGCAGAAGGTCGGTACATCTCATACGCCGTGAGACACGAGGCTCTGGTATGTTTTCTGTTATAATTAATTATATACCTGTAATTTCGTACCAAATACGTAGTTTAAATTCTTTACTTTTGCGCAGGCGATTGGATTGCATACGGTCTATCGTATGGGGTAGCAGATGCAGAGTTATGTCCACGATCCTGTGGTCATGCAGGACTACAGTCGTCGATTCATGGATTTGGCTGCCCAGACATTGCAGCGGGCCCGATCGGATCAGCGTTTAGCACACGAGGCTGATTATATTGACCCAGCCACGTACCAGCGAGGTCGTGGTATCCCACGAGGTGGTAGTGCCCGACGAGGTGGTGGTGCCCGACGAGCTGCTGGTGCCCGACGACCTCGTGCTGCCCGAGGAGGTGGTGTTCAGCAGGGGGGCCATGATGCTCCTGACGATGATGTTGCTGCTGATATGACAGGTGGCATGCATGAGACTGACATGCCATCTTACAGCCTGGGAATTTTTGACACTCCAGTGCCATCACAGATGACCCCATCGGGTCAACTATTGATCACGGGCTCGGATTTTCAAGGAGCTGAGTGGGGTAGATATTTCCCTGGCCCGTCTACCACTGATGAGGGTCGACCGACCCGAGATTTATTTAGTGGGCGCCGACTGAGTTATGGCAGCTCTTCACATGCGCAGGTATGAGTTTATTAGTATTGAATTTGAATTTGTTTTAACTATAACTTATTTATTTTGTTACACTATATTAATTTCCTTATTTCAGGCTTCATGTGATGCTGCGACAGATGACTACATTCAGGATCCAGACACGATTATGGTAAGATAATATAAATTATTATGAATTATTTATGAATTATTATGTAATTTTCTAAACTATAGCATTCTACTGGACCTGACAGCACCATCGATACATGTCATCCTGCGCCGCATCCGGCTATAAGGAGAAAACATGATGATGATGATCCTGATAGCGTACCCGGGCGGGAGGGGATACGCCTCAGGCCGACGGCTACAATGAGACACACCGGATGCGGGACACATTGAGTCGGTCCTTCCTTTTTTTTATTTGGTGTAAATACATTTTGT